TCTAAAAATGATACTCGTCTGTGTTAGAGAGTAGACTGGGTGTGTGTGTGGGATAGGAAAATGCCCAAACACACGCAGGGACAGACAGTGGCAGCGCTGGTGGCGACGGTGAGTTTGGATTGGGTAGTAAACCCAGTGCGTGGGCTTCACCGTAGTGGTTGGAACATTCAGGCCGGGCACAGCCCGAGGGGACGCGCGTACACTTGGCTGCTCTGATGCAAGGAAAAATGGAGGGACGGTGGTGACCGTGCACGCGATACTGGACGATGCTCCACAGGTGCACGCCGAACAACGGAGGGTTGTGAAATTTAGAGGAAGTAGTCAGGAGTTCGGCGCGACACATGCGGCTCACCGCGTCTGGGCGCCGGATCATACTTTAAGCTGGAAAAAAAAGAATTGAGATATGAGGAGGATACGCGGTTGTTAACCAATGCAGCAATAAAATCGATTGAAAAGGCTAATTTTATGTGGCGGTCAGTTTTACGCTTCCTGGGTAACGGTATAGTAGACAGCATCCTGGCCCTGTGGCGTTTAGCCGGGTATCCTACTATTTGCTATTTGTATATGCATGCGAAGAATTTGAAAGCAGTAAGTCCTTTAAGTGAAGATTTTTATGGAGAATGAACGCCATGTAGTTTAGAAACTTCACCAGCAGCCAAGACGTCAGCCGTGTTTGGAAATGCAAGTTAATTACTGAACAACTATGGCGCGCGTTAAAACACCACGACGATATATTTTAAACAAAATGAATACATTGGAATTAAGTTATAAAATGAAGTTGAATTTGTATAGATGTTCTTTTATCGCGGATGACCAGAATGATAAACAGCCAAAATGTAACGTTCCTAATTAAACAACATGCGTACCGTAACCGTAACCTTCATAATGCGAAATTTTCTTTTTGAATGCAAGTCTACGGAAATCGCGTGATTTCATAAATTTTTATGCACAACGAATGTAGCTGATTATACTTTTTAATGCCGATAAACGTACGTAGTAGATGCCTTTTATAGGGCAAGTATGACTGCCGGTTGGGTCATTGGCGGATTGTGCGCGAACATATCACGTGGCCCTATATATTGGCATTCGTTTCATTGGTTAACAGTACTAAATGATAATGGCTTGGCAATACTATTTTCGGAAAATTCCGACACCTTCCGGGTGTAGCCACCAAGTGTAGCATTTGGTTGGCCTTGCCACTAGTGTGCTCAGTTGTGTGTAACGTACTGTCATATATTTAGTTCTCACTGCTAGTGATATTTTGATGGAAAAAAATCCGAGTTTGAGTATTTAGTGCACTTATAATCGTCCTTATAGGCATTATTTTGAGTGATAAACATTACGTTGACGTTTCCGTGTCGCTGTGTAGACTAGGTATGAGTGAAGAGGAAGATAGCAATTATCCAAAGCCGTCTGGTGGAGATTCAGGCATTTAAAAACAAATCTGACTTATTTTTTCGGTATTTAGGGCTCCGTGCACTCAAAAATTCAAGGGCAAAACTGCGCCATAGCATTTGGTTAAATGCGGTGACGATTAATATACGGGGAAAGAATATAGCATTCAGTCTTTTGAAATTATTGGTAACAAACTATTTACGTACCGCCTCATAGTACATTTGATATCTCATGAAATTCGAACCCAAAGTGTAAAATGTGTTTCTGATCATAAAATATCACTTAGGTAGGGCCACAATATTAATTAGCTGCAGCCTAATCCTCAGACATTACGGTCATGACAGGATGCCGGTTGTGAATGAGGATTTTCATAGTTGCATATAAAAATCCACACTGTGCAAGAATTCAACGTAGGCAGTATACGTTTGTTTCATTGATTTAAATATATTTTATGGAAAACAGGCACAAAAATAACTATTCTTGCACTCGGTAGTGAGAAACGCCTTTTTTCCAATTTCATACATGAAAAAAAGATAACTACGCGTTTCAAAAAATTCCAGTAATGGGATTTAGTAAAGCCCCGAAATGTTCATTCATAAAGCATCGTACCTGCCCAGATATTCATGCGGATAAACTGAATACCAACTACAAAATCGTATGAGTTCTATATGACATTATATTAATAGTTAATAATAATGGATGATTCTCCTGACATGGGAAATAGACAAGTTGCAGTAAGGAAATCTCGGATGCAGGCTTAGCAGCAAGTCCAGTTTAAAAATATTCGAGAAATTAAAGTTTTTTTAACTGAAAGATACTTTTTTTCAAGTATAGCATGTTAATATGTCATTTACTACCAAATTATTGTAAGAATACTTTCGCGAGTTATCCTACCAAAAAAACAGCTTAATTTACAATCGCAATGAAAATCAACAAGAAAATTCATATCACTTAATCAACCATTTTTACAGGATAGTTAAGTAGGCTACCGGGAAAAAAAGGTCATTTAGAAGCCGGCATCCCGACGCGACTGAAATATATGATTATGCTGTACTATACTTCGGTATTCCTTCGTAAGCGGAAACACTGTTTGAAATTTTGGTCAACATTTCATATAATAGTAGGCCTACTTTATGCACCCAATAAGACTGTGCTGAGGCGTTGGACCTAAACGGCCACCAAACGGGTGAGGCACACATCGGACAAACACTTGCCGTGTTATTATTTGCACCTAGTTTGCTTTGAATTTGCCAACGGTAGGGGTGTGGGAGAAGAATGAGACTAACGTTTAGGTCAGTCTCTTTGTGTCAACCGGTGTTCACTATCTTTTCTACAAATATGTAAAGCTAGAAGTTGCCGCTTTGAAAGCCGTCAGTCGATTGGACAACTGGATGGTCTTGATTAGAGTCAGGCTGCAACAACCCTCTTTGTCTTAGTGTGGTCTTCATTACAATAGAAATGGAAAGGTGTGGCTGCAAAGCAGTGTCTGAGTGTCTGTTAACTGAATACCTGCGAACTGATGTTCGCAAATATCGTTCGGAAAATATTTAGAAACCCCGAGTCCAGTACCGTTCCTGTGAAATTTTGGATATTCATGGACAGTATTTTCAGTGGACCGGTCGATTCTAAGGAAGAAATCTACGGGTCAACAGACAAATTCCAGCCTGAGTGATGGAGGAATCGGCCGAATGCCAACGTAGCAACGAATGTCTAAGCATGAAAACTGTCCTTAACAAGCGACAAACGTCCAAGTATCTCTAGGCGCAGCTAAAATTCCAAGTCAAATAGCATTAAGGCGCACGACTCCCAGCGCACTTTTGCCGGATATGAATATATTTTACTCTATCTTTGTACTTGACGGAACAATGCTAACTTCAAAGTATAGCGCAAATCTACCTTCTGCTGGCATGCTGACGGAAGTCGCGGTCGTGCGTGCTACTGTTTGTTCTCAAAAGATAAAGAATCTTGACAACATTTTGTGGATGTTATCAGGAATGAAGCAAGAACGATGAATGCAATGGTGCACGATATTATCGAAACACCAAAAACTACTCGTAGTGCCAACAGAATTTCCCCTAGTTTTCTATGATAGTGAATGCTGGGCTGTGCGCGCAGACGATTTCTAGGAACAGGGAGTTGGCCACCCCTGCTTGAGAACCATCCTTCAAGTGAAGTGCATCGACCTCGTTCCAAATGAGACAGTTCGCATTGGCTGTGAACAAATTGCAAGGATATCATAGACCAACCAAGGAAGAAGACTGAGGTGGTTTGGGCACGTTCTGCATCGTCCACCTCACGAGCTGAGTGCTGCTGCCCCTGAACGGACACCCTTGCCGAAGAGGGGTTAGCTCAAAACCTATCCCGACACCGTTCGCCGGACAGGTTGTTTAACTATGTCAGACAAAAGGGTCTAACCCGCAATCGGAACAGAGTGGGTGAAGACTAAAAATAAATTCACAAACAAGCTACCACTACTAAGCCAACCTCTTTTCGCAGTGGTAGGTGTTGTCACCTACGACA